TCAGAAAAAAAGAGCAGGTTTACTAGTCTGATAGAGCCTCATGAGACCCCTGAGACTATGGCCCCTAGTTACCCTTCAGGTCTGGAACCGAACTCAGTCCTTTGGTTTCCAGCCAAACAATGGACTGGCATATAGGGTGAACATTTATATCAGGTAGATAAACTCCTTAGAATAGTCAATCATGTGAGATCAGAAGGGCAGTGATTGCACAGGTAGATAGCTCAGGGGGCAGGAATGCAAAGGAATGAAGGCCACAGGGAAGAGGTAACTACAGGGAGGAAGTGGGACAAGAGCTCTTGCATTGTGGGGAATTTCAGTCAGTGCCATGAAACAAAATGTGTATGAACTGCTGTATAGAAAATGAATGTGCTCTGTAAACTCTCACCCAAATCACAATAATAATTAAAAAGTTAATTAAAAAGATCTAAATAAATGGTGGCATATGATATTCATCAGCAACCTCATGATATCAGCTCTCCCTGAATTGATCTGTTACTTCAGTGAAACCTCAATCTAAATCTAAACAATTTTTTTGGAGATAATTAAGAAGCTGAATATATAATTGTAGCTACACACAAAGAACAGAGAATAGCCAACGAAATAATGAAGAATATCAGAGTCGGAGACATGCTTTAGTGGTGTGATGCAGTGAATTACTTAATATGGCTCTTGTAGTCCTCGTCTTTGTGGCTTCTACCAGATGACTGGGTGGAATGTAGGTTTGTTGTTCTTCACCAGTGGGATTTGCATAGCTTGCTAATAATGTAAATAATATACATATGCAGTGAATTTTTTAAACATGGCCCTTCTAGCCATCCTCATCCATTTTGTGATGTGTTGTAAATCATATTCTCTATGCCTGTTTAGGGTGGGATGTATCTTGAGTCCTACCTTGCTGGAGGGTGTGACTCAAATTATCACCCTTAGTTTCCTTGTTGGTATATATGTGAATGTTTTGGGAAAGTTCTCTCTCTTGCTCTGGTCCTGTGTTTGAGTCATCATCTCTTCACCCCTGGACTTGAGATAGCAGACCATCATCTGACCTGCCTAGTTGGGTTTGCCTGCCCTTGCAACCACATCAGTGGGGAGAATTCTCCAGACCAGTCCACAGACTTGGGATTTGCCAGCCTCCCAGCACTACCAGCACATGAACCGTTTCCCTGGTAGTTTGTGAGTTCTGTGATACGTTACAGTGAAACACAGAACCCCAAGGCAGGAGGGTGATTACTGAGGGGAGGAGCCGTTCATGTTAGAGATGATGGATTGGCACAGCAGTTTGGAAAAGTTGGACCTTTGGGACATCTTTAACCTCTGCCTCATAGGGACCAGCCTTGTGCTGATACTTCTAAAAGAAATTATTTGAGCAACATAACACCCTTCTGGGGGTGGGATCATGCAGATAAGGGGTATACAACCCCAACATGGGGATTGTTTGGTTTTGCCATTTTGCTAGTTTTAAAATGAGCCATTCCAGAGGTGGAAAGGGGGATCTCGCTGCCATCAAGAGGGAAAGGCTGGGAATGCAGCCTATCCTTTGACTCTAGATCCCTGCGCTGGAGACAGCAGAGGGAGATGGTGGTAACAGAGGGAGCAGAACCAAGAGACCCGCACGAGACAGAATCGTGGACTTCTTGGCCTGTGGAGCAAGAAAGCTGAGTGCCTTCAGGCGGGAGTCTGGTTGGCACAGTAGAATGCCTCCTGGGTACCTATTCAGCAAACCTAAAAGAGCTTTCAAACACTGGCTGTAGTGGGACAGGGGCAGAGGCCAGACAGAACCATGCGTGCAGCATGATTGAGAAGAAGCTGTCCTAACTGAGGAATTGTATTCTGAGTTGTTTCTGAACATGAGTTGTAGCCTGTTACTGCCTTAATAAACCCCATAATTGTGACTATTGTCTGTGAGTTCTGTGTGGCCATTGCAACAAATTATTGAACCCAGCATTGAAGTAAGAGAGTGCTGTGGGAAAGGACAGCTCATGTCAGAGTTGGTAGAAAAGTTGGAGAGTGGTGTCATGTCTGACTTCTGCCCCAAAGAATCAATCAGCCTTGGTCTGATGCGCTGATGGTGATTTCCTCTCCCCTCATGATGTTAAAGGAGATCGAAAGACTTTATTGCCCTCATGCCCTTTTTGCAAGTGGCTATCAAGACTTGGTGTAAAGCCACTATAGTTACCACACTGTGGTATTGGCTCAAAGATAGGCATGTTGAACAGTAAAAGAAAATAGAGTCTATTTGAAGTCGATTTGGGAAAAAAAGATAAATTCACAGCACAGTTAATAGATGGTTCTGGGTAAATTGGATAGCCATATTGGGGTTGTGGGTTGAACCCTAACTTACAGCATAGGCAAAAATCAATTCTAGTTGGATTAGAGATACAAATATGAAAGGTAAAACAATAAAGCTTCTATGAGGTAATAAATGATAATATTTTCAAGACCTTGGGATTGAGAAATATTTCTTTAACACAGAGTGTTAAAAGCACTAACTGCAAATGAAAAGATTGCTAATTTGGGTTGAATAAAAGTTAAAAAACTTCAATTCATCAAAAGACTGTAAAGAGAATGAAAAGGCAAGCCACATCTCAGCACAGAAAATTATATGGAGAAAGAAATCAGCACCATGAAACAAAATAACAGCAACAAATTCACACTTGTTGATAATTACGTACTGACAAGGGACTTATCTCTAAAATTTGTAGAAAACTCCAACACCTCAACAACAAAAAGATAAACAATCCAATTAAAAAATGGGCAGAATGGACACTTCACCAAAGAGGGATATTCAGGCCAGCAAACACATGAAAAAATGCTCATGATCATTAGCCATCAGAGAGATGCATATCAAAATGACGAGATACCATCTTGCCCTAGCACTAATGGCAAAGTTCAGTAAGACAGACAGTAACAAATGCTGGCAAGGATGTGGAGAGATTGAGACTCTTCTGCACTACTGGTGGGACTGTCAAATGATACAACTGTGGAAAACAGTATGGTGATTCCTTAAAAAGCTGGAATTACAAATACCATATGACCCAGCAATCCTATTACTAGGTATATATCCTAAAGAAGTGAGAGCTAGGACAGGAACAGATGCATGCACAACTGTGTTCATCACAGCACTATTTACAATAGCAAAAAGATGGAAACAACCTATGTAACCATCAACAGAAGAATGGATAACCAAACTATGGTATGTACACACAGTGGAATACTCTGTAACACTAAAGAATAATGTAGAATTGGCAAAACACCAAATAACATGGATGAACTTGGAGGGCATTATGCTGAGTGAAATAAGTCAATCACAGAAGGACAAATATAATATTAATGTATTATTGTAAAAAGTCAAGGAAAGGTTTATGTGTGGAAGGAAACTTTCTTTGTTGGTTATCAGGGGTGGGAGGGGAGGGAAGGGAACACTGCAAAAAAAAGAAAACATTGACCCATGTCACTTTAGTTTTGTGTATTTCACTGTACATAAATTATATTTCAATAAAATACATTAAAAATTAAACAAAAGAGGCAAGGCACAGAATGGCAGAAGATATTTGTAACACATGTAACCAACAGTGGGATTATATCTAGAATATTTACAGGAATCTAAGGAGCTCTGGTAGCGTAGTGGCTAAGGCACTTGACTGATAACCAGAAGGCTGGCGGTTCAAACCCACCAGCCACTCTTCGGAAGGGAGATTGGGCAGTCTACTTCTGCCTCAGAAACCCAAGGAGGGGTCGCTATGAGTCAGGTCTGAGTCCATGGCACATAACAACAACAACAGGGATGAATGAGGAAAATAATGTACAATAAATAAATAGACCAGAGATTTAATTTAAACAGACACTCACAAAAAATAGTAAGACATATGAAAAGGTACTAAATTCATTAGTAATCAGGGAATTACAAAATAAAACAGTGTAGTATTTATACCTACCAAAATTGCTAAAGTAAAGACTGACAGTACCCATTGCATGGTAAATGGAGTAATGGTATATATACTACTTTGGAAATGTAAATTGATATAACCAGTTTGGAAAGCTATTTAATGTTATCTACTGCTATGGCAGTTCCATTCCTGGGTATATTCCCAACAAAAATGTGTACTTGTATATACCAGAAGATCTGTAGTAGAATGTTTATAGCATCACAATTTATAATAGCCCTAAATTAGAAACAACCTAAATGTTCATTATTAGGAGAATGGGTCAGTAAACATGGTTGATACAATGGAATTGGATTCCTTGGGTGATGTGAACAGTTATGTGCTGAGTTACCAACCAAAAAGTTGGTGGGTTGAGTCCCCCTAGAGGCATTTCAGCAGAAAGGCCTGATGGTCTGCTCCGGAAAGATCACAGCCATTGAAAACTATGGAACACAGTTCTACTCTGAAACACATGGGTTACTTTGAGTTAGAACCAACTAAGTGCAACTGATTTTTGATTTGGTGTACAGTGGAATACCATAGTGAAATGGAAATGAACAAACCACAGCTACATGCAGTAAAGGGATGACTTTCATAAACATAATTTTGAGGGAAAGAGAGCAGACACTTAATGCATATTGTGTAACTCCGTTTTATTAAAATATAGCCTGGGAAAAACTAACGATTTATGAGAGGGGCTTGTAGTATTAATATTCTGCTTGTTAATCAGAATATTTATTGGGTATATGGGAACGTTTGTTCACTGAGATACACAATTATATTTTAGGCACTTTATTGTATTTGTAATATTTCAACAAATGTTAACATATATTTAATAAGGGATAAAGATTTTCTTTTGTTCTGCTGATACACTGTTTAAGGTTGGACCTTTGTGATCATCAGACAGGTTAGCTTTTGTCACCTTTCTGCAGAATGATTTTATCCTGGATAATTGTTCTAGCATATTTGCCAAGATTTGTCAGAAGCAAGTTTGAATGAAATAACCCATTAGGATTTATTGACTCTTCCATGATTTTGCCATTTATTAGCTTGACTTTACAAAGAATTAATGTCTTTTAGGTCGTGATAAATTGTGCCATTCCTAAAGGGTTGAAGTACAATCAAGCTACACAGACCTTCCACCAGTGGCGAGATGCTAGACAGGTGTATGGTCTCAACTTTGGCAGCAAGGAGGATGCCAATGTCTTCGCAAGTGCCATGATGCATGCCTTAGAAGTGTTAAATTCACAGGAAACAGGTAAGGTATCCACAATTTACTTTTATCCTTGAAGTGCCATGTATATGTTAAAGCTAATCCTTTTGACCAACTTTTAAATCATATACATATTTGAAGGAGTTCTTAAATTTCTATTGCTTACTATAATAATGTAGACTTAAGTTTGTTGATAATAAGCATAATATCTGGAAGGATCGTTGTAGGAGTTCAGTTAGTCTGGTAATTTTTTAACCCTCTCATTTGAGGTTATTTGTGTTCATCCTTCTTTAGAAACAACTTTTTGTGGCAAGGACTTGAAACCCAGGGAAGATAAGAGTGGATAACAATTGATTCTAGAAGTTGTTTTAAGGTTTTAGGGATGCCCTCAGGTGGTACAAGCTGTGAATTGCATCTCCTAATATTTTATGTGTTGGTTAGAAAGGTGATATATAAAAATAATTTACTTAAAAAGAAAAAACAGGATTAAAACTGTATACATGTTAGGAATGAGCTCAGGTTTGTTTTGGTTTAAAAAATAGAAAAAGAAATACACCAGCTCATGGTTATCTCTTTGGGGAAATAGATTGCTTTTCATATTTCATTTTCCAAATGTTCTAGAATGAACTTGAAGTACTTTTAAAATCAGAAAATAAATGATATAAAAAAATATACAAATACTACTCTTACTGATGTTGTATATTTAATAGTTATCCTGATGTTATAAATATGTATAAACAATATATTTCTGTAAAGAGGAAGACATTATAGATTAAAATTTGATATTTTGTTGAAAGTATAGAATTTCAAAACCTGTTATAAATATTATAAAAATTACATTGCTTGCTTGCCTTATTCTAAAAAAGGTTTGAAGCATCAGGCTCATATATTAGTCTATTTTAAGCATGAGTTACTAGGGCAAGAAGAAATTTAGGGGCTTGTAGAAACTTTGTTGTTATACCTATACATGTTTTATATTAGATTTTCTTTTGAGGAATTCAGGATCTCTATAAATAACTTGAACACATAATTAATACGCCACTGGATCTCTTTTTGTTTGCCAGTAAGTGCAGAAAATAGCATGGAAAAGCTGCCTGTCTTATGCCCTTGTATATAGATAGTTTTAGTCACTATACTTTTCTCACAGGCATCAATATTTTGTCAGCATTCCATTGTGGATGTAGAATTGCTTTTCTGTCACCACAGTTTTACCATAGGGAAGAAGCTAGAACTGTGGTTCTTAATATTTTAAGAGAGAAGGCAAATATATAATAAATATTAAAGGACCAGAGTTTGGAGAATTTATGTATAATAGTACCATTTGGTTTTCTCACGTATGGAACAAGCTAGCATTATTTTTATTTCTAAACCCTCAGAAGGGTATCAACCGATACTACAAACTAAACGATACTAATTTAAAGTAGTTGAAATTATTGTTGTCATTGTGTCATAAAAAAAAATTGTTTTTATCAGTGAGTAGTCATATAGTTTTGGAAGAAAAGATTGAGTAATCTACTTCCATAGTGATACAGCCTCAGAAACCCAAGGAGGGTCACTATGAAGTGGATCTGACTCGAAGGCAGTGGATTTTTTTTGTTGTTGTTTGTTTGAGTCATATAGTTTGCTTTCAAACTGCAAATACTTATTAAAGTTTTTATTCTGATCATAGGAGTTCTGGTAGCATAGTGCCTAAGGCACTTGACTGCTAACCAGAAGGCTGGTGGTTCATATCCACCAGCCACTCCTCAGAAGGCAGGTTGGGCAATCTACTTCTGTAGTGATACTGCCTCGGAAACCCAACGAAGGGTCAATACGAGTCGGATCTCACTCGATGGCAAATAACAACAACAACAACATTCTGATCTTGGTCTTCTGAGGGAAGCTTTGGTGGTGTAGTGCCTAAGGCACTGCATATGACTGCTAACCAGAAGGCTGGCAGTTCAGACCCACCGGCCACTCCTAGGAAGGAAGACAGGGCAATCTACTTCCATAGAGATACTGCCTCCGAAACCCAAGGAGCCTATTGTAGAGAGACTATGGTAGAGAATGTGATTCTCTATTATAATGAACATTAAGGAACAATGCCCACATTTAGAAAGTTTGGCAAATAGGAGGAAGATCGCCCACCATCTCACATGGCTGCACAAGAATTTTGATAAGGCCAAAAAAACATTTAATAAGCTTCTTCTTAGATGATTTTGAAACTTTATTTTCATCATCCCAAGCAGTAATACTCTGGCTGACAAAAGAGAAATAGATAATGGTTAGTCCCTCTTAGCAGTTGTCTCCTTGCTTCATGGGCCAAATCATTGGCAAAGAAACTTTTGGTTCTGTAGTTTTTTTTTTTTTTTTCATTGGAATAAACAGAACATAAAATACGACTGATGTTCTAAATAGTCCTATTTATTTAGGAAATGACTGTTTTCATAAGTTACTTGTAGTTAACCACTAATTTCTGATTTCTGATGGCATTAATTGCCTTGGAAGAAGAGGCATGAGAGGAGGTAGATGCCAGGAATCAAAAGTGTCCCTGGGAAGGGATATACTTTCTTATGCAGATCCTCAAAGTGGGGTTGGTATGTATCCTCCCCAAGTGTTACTTTGTGGGCCTTTTCCTGATGCACCTAAGCAAACATCCCCCCACATGTAGTCTTCCGTCTTTCAGCTTGATCATATCTTCCTCTGCCAAAGCTGTTTGCTTTGGGCGCACAGCCAATTCCCTGCTAAAAACATCTGCTGTCTTCCTGCCAAAACCAAGTTGCTAAAACTTAACTTGCTTGTCACCTCCTTTAGCAAACATTATACTCAATGAAATTTTGAGCAAAAGCAAAAGAAGCAAACTTATTCATAAAGATAAAGTTAACTATTTGTTAATGTTTTTTACCCCTGAATTATGGTTATTCCGTTATGAATAATTCTTAGTTTGTTATTAGGTGTTAATAGTATCCATTGAAAGCCATTATCGGTTAATGTTTCTCAGTGATTTTCAGACTTTTTAAAGTTATGGACACCTTTGTTCAAACAATCCTTTGCAGAAGCTCATTGTATAAACAAAAATATGGAGCTTCTCTGATTAATGTGGGAGGTGGAAGCCTAGAGCCACTGAGGTACCCACATTGTTCCAGAGCAGGCTTTGAAAACTGCCAACCCATCTTTCTTGCCAAAACCAATAAACAGTTCTCTTTCCCTCTCCCCCTTACCCCTCAAAGCCCCCAAATCCTCAAACAGAGCATTTTTTAAAATGAATAAACAGCTTTTTTTGAGGCTAGTCCCACAGACCTTTATTAGGTGCTCTATATATTTAATATTTCCATTTCTTTTATATAAAGGGTGGGTGTCAGGAATGTTTTCTTTTATTTTGTTTTTAACTTGGTGTGCAATTATCTAATATACTGGAAAGTACAGGAGGTGCTAAATACAGTGAGTTATATTTGGAATTAAAAAAAATATATCACATGTTCTAACATTTTTGAGAAAGAGCTGAATTAGTGCTCTCCCTTTTATACCAAAAGCTGTTTTCTTTGTCTAATGGAAATTGACTCAGTTTTAAATAAGCACATTCAGTATGCATTATCAAGACTGATGCTTTTGATTCTGTATTATTTAGCAAATGCATTTATAGCATTTTTGTAGGTAATAGTTACAGATTATATAAAATATAAAGTCAATCCTTGTGATGATGAGTAGAGGTAAATTTATACAGTCTGTCTTATTTGGAAAAAGGTTTAGCAGTCAGTTGAAAGTAGGAAATACATTTTTTAAAAAATTGCTTTTTTTCCCAAAGAAAATAATCTTCGCAGCCAGTAAAATCATTCTACTGCTTTTGTTCTACTTAACCAGGATTTAAGAATACCTTTCTAACCTCTGAGCATTTTATTAAGACTGCTTTTATTAGATTTTATTTTATCTGTTGAATATGAGAACATAGCCCAAAGAATCCTCTTTATGCTTGATATTTTCTTCAGATTTTATAATTAGTATTGGGTTTTAGCTCTTTTTTAAATGAGAATTTCTCCTAGCCTGCCTTCCAATATAAGTATTTATATAAATTTTACCAGCATTTTAAAATCTCTTTGTGGCTTATGATTTGGAATTAACAGGCAAAAAGAAGACAATCTTCAAAAAGTTTCTAGAAAGACTTTACAGTGACACTTCCATTTTTTAATTCTCCAGATTGCTCATATTTGTGGGAGCATTGTTAAGCTTATAAATGTAAATGTCATATACTAAACATATTTTGAACATGTAAATGTCAAATAACCATGTTTTGAGCCATAGGTACTATGCTAAGTACTGAAAATAATACTAGCATAAGGTCTATCCCTTGCCTTTAAGGCAAAATTAGGATAAATTCTATGAAATGTTGTGAATGATGTATGCAGAAAGACCTTTGGAATACCTGGAGTCAGGGAAAGGTTTGAAAAAGGAGATGATGCTTGAGCTATGTTTTGACAAATGGATAGACTTCATCAGTGATAGAAGAACATTTTAGGTAGGCTTGGAGGCATGAGAGTTGAAAGTAATTATGAAATGGGACATAGGCCATGTTGTGGCTAGAGCATGAGAATTGATTTGGAGAGAAATGGCAAAAGATAGAGTGGAAAGATTGGGAGCGCCTTGTGTTCTTGTTGAGGCGTGTGAATATTTGTAAGTGGCAGAGAGTCATTGAAGGGTTCTAAATAAATAATATAATCAGATTTCTGCTTTAGGACAAGTGCGATGGATTGGTGGACATGAGTTAGAGACATAATGATTAATGTGGGACGCTTTTGTGATAGTGTCTGTGAGAAAGATGAGGCCTAAACTGACACAGCAGAGAGAAGGAGCAGAGTGAGGAGGGAGGTGACAGACTTACTTAGTGCCAGCAGTATCTGCTAGGCATTGTGCTAGGCCTTCTACTGTTTATTGGACAGAACCCCTGAGTGGTACTAATGGTTAACGTGCTTGGCTGCTAGCCTAAAGGTTGGAGGTTTGAATCTATCCAGAGGTACCTTGGAAGAAAGGCTTGACAATCTGCTTCTAAAAAATTAGCAAACTTAAAACCT